TGCGATCCTCCTGCCTCAGCCTCCCGAGCTGCTGGGATGACAGGCCCGGCTGTCCCCGGCCCTCTGTGGGCACTGACTCGGTCTGCACCAGGTCTGAGGAGGACGTGGGCTCCTCCTGGCCTTTCCCCCCCGGGGCCAAGCTGGAGGTGGCACAGTGACAGGCCGCCCAGTCGGGGCTGTGATGGAAACTCCCGGCCTCGCTGCCCAGAACAGAGGCCCAACCCAGTCCTCCCCGAGCCACAGCAGGGTGTGAACCGCTGGCCCCCACGGCCTCCGGCCAGGACGCTGCCAGCTCGGGGAGCCAGGTCCTCCAGATCCCCTGGCCCTGGCTCCAGGACACCCCCCTGTCCCCTGCCGCCCGGTCCCCTCCCGCCCCTCCCCCCTGCAGATTTGATAACACCCAGGAGTCTCGGTCCCCTCCCGAGGACAAAGGAGGCGATTGTCCCCTTGGACGCCTTTTGACTTGCTCTCACCGAGGTGTAACTGAGCCCCACTCTCCCTGGGCCTCACCCTGTCCCCTCCCTCCCCGTCCCCGTCCCCGTCCCCGGTTTCAAAGGAGCCCCTGGCTGCGGGGGCCAGAAGCCACCCTGGGAATGGCCCCCCCGGGGGACGTCACGTGGCTGGCCCGAGGCCCCGGTGGACGGTGCGATCCCGGTTCCAGCCTCGGAGCAGAGCGCCGACTGTATACCCACGAGCACCCCCGCGTCACAGCCGGGCCCTGCCACTCCCCGCCACCAAAGGGCCACATCGTCACGGGGGACCAAGGACCCCGACTTCCAGTCCGACCCATTCCCACGGACGTCAGCTTGAACAGCCACTTGGACTGTGGTCACCGCCCCGGATCCCAGGGTAGCACCTGTCCGCTGTGCAGCCCCCAGGCAACTTGCTTGACCTCTCTGTGCTTCCATTGTCCCATCTGCAGGACGGAGAGGGACAGAGACCGCTCCTCACAGGGGTCCTCGGGGCTCTTGGGGCTCCGTAGGGACTAGGGGACAGGGACAGCTTCCTGTGTCCATGCCAGATTGGGGATGCCGGGGTCTCAGTGGCCCACAGCACGGGGGACGCTGGGACCCACAGATGTCTCCCTTCTCCTCGGGAAGGGCTGGCCTCCCTTTATCTTGTCCCCTCCCTTCCTGGGCACTGACCACGGCTATCGCCTGTGGCATCAATGACGGGGACCTCGTGGGCCTTGCCCTGGCTGCGTGGGACTGGACATGACCAGAAAACCTCCGGCCTCAGGACCATCCTCCGCCCCGGGCCTCCTGGCCCCTGATCTCCCGTGGCTTCTGCCCCGGGGATCTGTCCTGGCTCTTGGTCCCCCGGCAGCCCACAGGAGAGCTCCCAGTGCCACCTCAGCCCTTCGGGCACACCAGCACGTCACAGGGGCAGGAGGGAGGCTGAGCCGGGGCGGTCCCGGGTGCGAATCCTGCCTCTCCACCCGCGCGCTCTCTCTCTGAGCCTGGCGCAGTCTCCCGTGCGTTCGTGGACTCAGGAGTCCCCAGGGGGGAAGCGCCTCTAGCTGCACAACCAAGTGGCAGCTCTTGGAATGTTCCAGAAACGGGTGTCTGCATGGGGCAGCAGAGGCCGGGCAGGGAGGCCGGAGTTAGCCTCCCCCCTCAAATAGGCCAGACCTGAGACTGACACCTGCTGAAGCCCCTTCAAGAGGAGTCACAGGAAGAGTGGGAGCTGGGACAGGGGGTCCGTGTTACCTGGGGACACAGTCGGAGCTGGTGACGCAATGGTTTGAGGGGAAAAGCGCCTCCCGGGGGGCAGACGCGGCATGTGCCAAGGTCCTGAGGTAGAAATAGCCCGACTCATCCCAGCGGGGAGCAGGGAGGGCAACTGGACAGGACCTTGGGGTCTGGTGGTCCTCCCCAGTCTCCTGTCACCCTTGATGGCCTTTCTGAGGACACAGGAAGGAACCTTTATGGAGGGGGGGGGCGGGAATCTAAGGTCCCCGAGGCAGGAGACCTGCCCACTTCTGTGCCCGGGTGCAGGTGGCCCGGGGAGGTGGGGCTCGGCCGCTCAGGCCCTTGACGTGCCCTGAGTCACCCTCTGGTCCCTCTTAGCTGGCCACTCTTCCTGGTCAAATATGCAAGTGGCCCTCAGGGCGCCACGAGGACAGGCCTTATCTGGGCCCCGCCCCAGGGGCCAGGGGCCGGGTCCCTGCTGTCCCCGCTGGCTCCCGGGGCTGCCCGGAGCCGGGGTGCACGGGGACTCCAGGGCCCGGGAGCACCCAGACCCGAGCGGGAGGACAGGAAGGGACAAGACCGACCTCAGCAGCAAGAGCCTGGGCAGGGCCGGGAGGGGACTCCGCAGCCCGCTGGTGGCATTCCAAGCCCCTGAGCTCACCTGCCCCGGGCAGTGGCGCATTCCAGCAGGACCAGCCCCGTCCAGCCCCGCCGTCCCAGGCCCCCAGAGCCGGCCTGGCATCTTGGGGACTTGGCCACCCCTGTCCCTGGGCCAGAAGTTGCAGAAATAGCAGAGGCCAGTGACCTCCTGTCCACCTGCACCAAGACCCACCTGAGTTGAGCTACCAGAGCCCCCCCTTCCTCTCTGCCCTGTCCCCGGGGCCCTGCCACAGGAAGTCCCCACGAGTCCTGTGAGACAGGGTCTGACTCCCTCAGCCGACCTCCCAGGCTCCGAGTACCTCCAGCCTCCTGGGCCTCACCACCCCTCCCCCCTGTTGCTTGTCCCCTGGCGCGCAGCCCCGAGTCACCATCTGGTCCCTGTTAGCTGACTGGACTAGACTGAGCCCCCCGGAGGGCACGGGCCATGGGCAGTTCCCTTCCCCGCTGCCCAAAGTGCGGTGGCCTGCGCCTGTCATCCCAGCGGCTCGGGAGGGAGGCTGAGGCAGGAGGATAGAGAGTTGGAGGCCGGCCTCGGCAGCTGAGTGACCTGTGTCCACACAGAAGGTGAAACGTGCTGGAGGGACGTGGTCGGACCCGGGGACCCGCCCTGAGGGTCCCGCACCAGCCTCTGGCCACCCTGCGGGCCATGGGTGATGTCATGGGGCAGCCACTGCGGCTGGCCTCGTCCCTCCAGCTCGGTGGTGGGGGCTGGGCTGTGGGCCAAAGCGCACAAACCCGGCTCCCCCACAGCCCTGGGGACATCTGGGACAGGCCTCAGGAGGCCGAGGGTCTGGTGGACGTCCTGCCCCACCCCTCCTCTCTGGTCCCTCCCCTGTGGGGTCCCTGGTGCCACCCACTCCTGCTCCAGAACCATCTGTGGCTCCCCAGCACCCACCGGTGCCCACCCCCTTGCACCGGGGTCTGGAATATGGCTTTGTCATAGTCCCCCGGAGACTGGGTCCCCAGACAGCTTACAGACTGAGGACAGGGGACGTCCTCCTCCTCCTCCTGTCCCTCCTCCTGTCCCCCCGCTGTATCTACTGCCTTAATTCTCAGCTCGGCCCTAACAGGTGGACAGATAAGGTCAGTGCCGCGGGGGATGGAGGTCACTGCTTTCCTTCTGTCCCCTCCAGGGACCGAGCCCTGCTGCTGTGACCTGTGACCCATGACCTGAGGGGACCTAGCTTCAGAGAGAAGGAGGAAGAAATAGCCGAGGACCCGCTGGGGGAAGGGGGCAGGTCCCACCCTGGACAGGGGCCCCGAGCCATGGGGACTCTGGGGACACTCAGCCATCACAACGTCCGGGTCCAGCCAGGCTCGATGGCCCACGCCTGCCATCCCAGCAGCTCGGGAGGCTGAGGCAGGAGGATCACAAGTTGGAGGCCAGCCTCCCAAGCCACCAGGATTAGAGGTGTGGTCACCGCGCCCTGCTGATGGTGGCCTTCCATGACCTTTGACAGCCATGGTCTGTCCCCAGCCCCACAGGCGCCGAGCCCTCCCTCCCTGGCGCACAGACCCTCTCTAGAGCTCAGAATCATCACCAGGGGACATTCACCTTCTCTGTTTTGCGCTGCAGACCTTGGTGAAGATGACCGAGGACAGGTTGGCTGCTCTGGCAGGTGACCCCGTGGACCCTCCCTTCCAGTTCTGCGCAGCGAGAGCCCACCCGCACCCCTCCGTGGGGCCGAGTGACCCCAGAGCGGCCCTCATGGACCCCGAGCCAGACCCCTCCGGTGCCCAGGCGGTGCCTCGGGGCGCCCCGAGGCTGCCAGACACCGCGCGCGTGGCCCACCTTCCTGCCGGCCTCGTTGTTGTGCAGGTTCATGAGCGTGCGGGCGTTCTGCTTGATCTCCCGGGCGTCCACGAAGACCTTGGCGAAGCCGATGCCGTAGCGGATGTCGGCCGAACAGCCGCCCCACTTCCAGCCCTCCTCGCGGTGGTACTGGCCTTGCTTCTCCTTGTCGCAGCCACAGTCGCTCAGGTTGCCCTGGGTGCAGGCCGCTGTGATGGCGTGGGCCACGCCCGCCGCGATGATGGCATAGGTGAAGGCCGCCTCCCGGCTCCCTGGGGGGGGGGGCAGAGGGACGGGCTGTGGAGGTCCTGGGGAGGAGGCCCGGTGGCGAGGCCACGGCCTCCCCCAAAGACCTGTCCTCCATTCCTGGCCTCCTGGATGAGGCCAGGGACCACCTGATCGGTGTCCCCAAGGAGGCTCAAGACAGGGCTCAGCCTGGTGCCTGGCTCAGCAAATATCCCCAAAGTCGGCACTCTGGGCCTGGTCCACCCCCTCCACTGCCCCTCCACCTCTGAGACTTGCAACGGGGCATTATCTGAGCACCGACTGAGCGCATGCACACAGGAAACCCTGGGGGATGTCAAGGTCAAGGTCAACAAGGGGGGGGAGGGGTGGCTCTTCCTGGACTTTCCTGCTGTGTGACCTTGGGTGAGTCACCTAACCTCTCTGTGCCCGCTGGCTCCACTATAAAATGGGGTGATAACAGGACCCGGGTTATCAGGGTGGTCGCGGAGAGTAGGGAAAAAAAGCCACTGAGGTCACAGCACGGGGCAGAAGGAAGTGACCTCGTCGTGGGCTATCGCACAGCGGCCCACCCGGCCCGCAGACACCCCGACCAGACCACGGACTGTCCCTGCTAACTCGAGGGGCAGCAGCTGTGGGGAGTCTGTGTCTCTGTCTCACTAAGTCCCATGATGTCCCAAAGACCAAGCCAGCTGCAGGGGGCGGTGGCCCACGCCGGGAACCCGGGGGCTCTGGAGGCTGAGGCAGGAGGATTGCAAGGTGGAGGCCAGGCTCGGCCACTGAGCGAGGCCCTGAGCCACTCAGCGAGACCCTGTCTCTAAATAAAATAGAAAATCAGGGCTGGAGACGACGGGGCTCAGTGGCTAAGTGGCCCTGGGGTCAATCCCTGGTACCAAGAAAAAAATAAATAAATAAAATAAATCCCACAAAAAAAAAACCCCAGCAGAGGCCCAGCCGGTCCTTCCTGAATCACTCTCGCTTGCTCTTGGATACACCAGCGTCACCTTCTTGCAGATGAAGAAACTGAGGGTCAGAGAAGCTGACCAAACTCCAGCCCCTGCCCGTCCAGCAAGGGGTGACCCGAGGCCTGGAGGGTCGGGGGGGGGAGTCAGGGTGGGGGTGGAGGGGAGGTCCCTGGTGTTGGGCATCCATTAGGCACCAGATGCATGCACAGCTCTCTCTCTCTTTGGTGCCAGGGATGGAACCCCAGGGGTCTTCACCCCCTGAGCCCCATCCCCAGCCCTTTTTAAATTTTATTTAGAGACAGGGTCTCGCTGAGTGGCTGAGGCTGGCCTCCCACTTGCGATCCTCCGGCCTCAGCCTCCCAAGCTGCTGGGATGACAGGCAGGTGCCACCGTGCCCAGCCCCGTCCCTCATTCTCCACCCATCAACAGGGGGATGTCAGCTCAGGCCTGGGATGAGATGGAGCTCGCTGTCTAGTCTCCTGTCCCCGGTGGGTGACCCCCGAGCAAGGGCACAGCCTCCCTGAGTCTCAGCTGCCCATCTGTCACCTCGGAGTCCCCAGCAGGACACGGCCAGCCGGCTTGTGGGGACACTCTGGGCGTGTCCACGGGGTCTGGCTGGGAACCCCGGACACCCCCAGGTCCTTCTCTTCGTCCCTCTGCTGTTCCCAGCCAAGGGTCAGGGCGGGAGTCCTATGGGTCACAGCGGCTGGCCTCTGTGACAGTCCGGAAAACAGATGGAAAAATGTCCTTCTTTCCAGCCCCGTGCCCTGGCCACTCACCGCCCCTCTGGGCCAGCAGCCACGTGGGGCTGTTCCTGTGCAGGGGGACCAGGGAGTCCCCGGCCGGAAAATGAGGGGGGTGTCTGGGCTGCGGTCCCAACCCCGTCCCCGCCCACCTCTGTTCCCGGTCTCTCCCGGGTGGCCCTACCGGGGCACACAGGGGCCTGTCCACCCATGGGCAGCGCCCGCCCCAGCCTGCCCTGCCCTTCCCCATGCGGCTGGGTGCACCTGGGAATGTCCTTCCTGTCCCCCCACCTGGGGAGGGTCGGGGAGCCCCAGATGGCCACACGCAGGCCCTGGAGGCAGGTAACCGGGGTTCACATCTGGCCCCCCCAGCACAGCTGGACCCTGGCTACGTGAACTCCTTCCCAGCCTCGGTGGACCTGTCTGAGCCATGGGACTCACAGGGCACCTGATGGCCGTCCATGGTGGGGAGGACCTGTCCACAGGGGACAGTTACGGACCAGGGATCCCGGAGGCTGAGGAGGCTGAGGCAGGAGTATCGCGAGTTGGAGGCCAGCCTCAGCAACGGCGAGGTGCTAAGATAACGAGACCAGGTTCCATCCTTCAGGTCTCAGAGCACCGGAGACACAGTGGGGACAGGAACTGGCCTGCCTGGCCAAGCACTCATCAGTGTTCTGTAAGCACCTACTGTGTGCTGGGAAGAGACCAGAAGTACCTACTGCATGCCAGGAAGAGACCAGGAGCACCTACTCTGTGCCAGGAAGAGACCAGGAGCACCTACTGTGTGCCAGGAAGAGACCAGGAGCACCTACTCTGTGCCAGGAAGAGACCAATAGCACCTACTGTGTGCCAAGAAGAGATC